GAGACAGAGTCTCACTGTCGCCCAGGCTGGAGTGCAATGGCGTGATCTCAGCTCACTGCAACCTCCGCCTCCCAGGTTCAAGCGATTCTCCTGCCTCAGACTCCTGAGTAGCCGGGACCACAGGCACGTGCCACAACACCCGGCTAAGTTTCGTATTTTTAGTAGAGATGGGGTTTCACCATGTTGGTCAGTCTGATCTCAAACTCCTGACTTCGTGATCCTCCCACCTTGGCCTCCCAAGGTGCTGGGATTACAGGTGTGGGCCACTGTGCCCGGCCGATAGGTACATGTTTAATTGTTTGTTACAGCTGTCATCTAATTAGTAGTCACCCACAGGCCATTCACTGTAAAAGCTTGACCTTGTTTAATCTTCGGGATAACCTGACACTACTTGTTTCAGTTATCTACTGTTGCCTAACAAACCATCCCCAAATTAAGTGGGTTAAACAACCCAGCACTAAGCTAGTGTCTGCTGCCTGGGGGGGATATGCTGGAAGGCAGGCTTGGTGGGGATGGCTGAGCCTCTTACTTCCAGTGGCCTTCTTCCATGTGACCACTCCATGGGTGCCTCCAATAGGGCAGCCAGACTTCTCTCATTGTGGCTCAGGGCTCCCAAAAGTGCAAAAGCAAAAGAAACCAAGGCTTCTGAGACCTATGATTGGCATGGTGTCACTTCCACCACATGCTGCTGATGAGAGTGGGACTCAGCGAGGCCAGGTCCACTGTGGGAGGGAACCAGGTGTGGTTCACTGGGGGCCATCTTTAGAGACAGCTACAGCACAGTCATCCTCATCATACATGGAGAGAGGCAGAGGCCTGGAGAGGTTAAGTCCCATCCCCAAAGTGTGTCTGACTCCAAAGCCCCTGCTTTGAACCACACTTCCTCTGGGGAAGAGAGCTCAGCCTTGGATAGAATTTAGAAACAAAGAATGTGACTTCCTTTATTATTGATCTCATTATGGTTTGTGTGGCTTTCAAAAATGGCCAAATTAGCTGGGCACGGTGGCTCACGCCTGTAATCCCAGCACTTTGGGAGGCTGAGGCTGGTGGATCACTTGAGGTCAGGAGTTTGAGATCAGCCTGACCAACATGGTAAAACCTCATCTCTACTAAAAATACAAAAATTAGCCGGTTATGGTGGTGGGCGCCCGTAATCCCAACTACTCAGGAGGCTGACGCAGGAGGATCGCTTGAACTTGGGAGGTGGAAGTTGCAATGAACCGAGATCACGCCACTGCACTCCAGAGCCTGGGCGTCAGAGTGAGACTCTGTCTCAAAAGAAAACCAAAAAATGGCCAAATCAGTTCCTTAACATGCCTGATAGAATGTGAGGGTGCCAGGACTCCGCAGCCTTTCCAGATGAGAGCACGGCAAATGATGTCTTTCCAGTAGAGTCACATCTCAGTAGAGTCACATCTCAGTAGAGTCATCTTCCTTTCCTCCCTGACAGGACACAGCTATTTCATCATAAGAACGGGGCCCGCAAAAGTGCCAAGAAGATCCTCATTGTCATCACAGATGGGCAGAAATACAAAGACCCCCTGGAATACAGAGATGTCATCCCCCAGGCAGAGAAGGCTGGCATCATTCGCTACGCTATCGGGGTGCGCCTCTTCTTCACCCCTGCCCCAGGCTCAGCCTGCACCTCCTGCAGGTGCAGTGCTGCTGGGCTCCTCCTCCTCAGCTGCCTCTCTGCTGCAGGTGGGACGCGCTTTCCAGAAACCCACCGCCAGGCAGGAGCTGAACACCATCGGCTCAGCGCCTCCACAGGACCACGTGTTCAAGGTGGACAACTTTGCAGCCCTTAGCAGCATCCAGAAGCAGCTGCAGGAGAAGATCTATGCAGTTGAGGGTAAACGGGAGCAAGAGGGCTCCTGGGAGCCAAGGGGTCCCCACCCAATTGTCCCGCGCAGTCTTTTTTTTTTTTCTTTTTTTTCTTTTGAGATGGAGTCTCACTTTGTCCCCAGGCTGGAGTGCAGTGGCACGATCTTGGCTCACTGCAACCTCTACCTTCTGGGTTCAAGTGATTCTCCTGCCTCAGCCTCCCGAGTAGCTGGGATTACAGGCATGTGCCACCATGCCCAGCTAATTTTTGTATATTTAGTAGAGGTGGGGTTTTGCCATGTTGGCCAGGCTGGTCTCGAACTCCTGACCTCAGGTCATTTGACAACCTTAGCATCTCAAAGTGCTGGGATTACAGGCATGAGCCACCACTCCTGGCCTGTCCCGCGCAGTCTTGATGGGCCATTCCTGTTCACAAATCACTCAAAATTGCTCTCCAGAACCCAAGCCTCAGATCATGTTCTCCTCCCTGTGTTCTGAGTCCTCATGTGTCTCACGGCTTCTAGGAACTTCACTGACTTGTTTCCCTACAGGAACCCAGTCCAGGGCAAGCAGCTCCTTCCAGCATGAGATGTCCCAAGAAGGCTTCAGCGCAGCCCTCACAATGGTGGGTAGAGTCTGCCCTCAATCCACAGCTCTTGGATATCAATTCTGTGCCCACCCTGGGCTGGAAGCCCGACATAAACAAGATCAGACCCCGTCCTCAATTTCACCCTCTCGCTGGGGAGAGGCCCCCACGCTGTATGTTAGGGGCCAGGAGCACAGCAGGGAAGAGGGTGGCCTGGGTTCCTGCTCTCAAGGATCACGTATTCTAGTGGAGGAGACAGTAAGCAAGAGCCTCTCAGACAGCACTGAGCATCAGGGTAGAGAGAGAGATGGCCAGAGGAGTCTCAGTAATGGAAAAGGCCAGCCCTGGACAAATCAGGGGAGACTGCTCTGGGCACGGGACAAAGCGAGTGCCAGGCGGACCTGGGTCCAGGTTCTCGGAGGGAGAGAGAGGGGCTTGCCAGAGCCCAGGGAGCCCAGGCAGCCTGGAAGGAGAGGGCTGGAGGCTGAGAAGGACCAGGTGGGATCAAAGATGTGGTTTCAAAGTGCATGTGTGTTCAAAGGATCCAGATTGGGCCGGGCACTGTGGCTCACGTCTGTAATCCCAGCACTTTGGGAGGCTGAGACGGGCGGATCACTTGAGGTCAGGAGTTTGAGAACAGCCTGGGCAACATAGTGAGACCCTGTCTCTACAAAAAATTAAAAAATTAGCCAGGCATGGTGGCACGTGCCTGTGGTCTCAACTACTCAGGAGGGATTGCATGAGTTCTGGAGTTCAAGACCGCAGCGAGCTATGATTGTGCCACTGCATCACAGCCTGTGTGACAGAGCAACAGCCTGTTTCAAAAAAAAAAAAAAAAGGTGAAGTTGAAGTTGACTCTTCCAGGGAGGGGAAATGAGCTGAGTCCCAGAAAACGAGAAGGGGAGGGAGGTGTCCCGGCCAAAGGCTTGATGTGCTTTGGAACAGAGGGAGGCTCCATGGCTTTGATGGGGAAGGGTCCTAGGTGCCACCGGAAGGGCCTTGGCGATGGTTTTCCAGCAGGGGTGGCTGCACATTTGGGTTTGGGGAAGCCTGGCACTGGGGCAGTAGACAGAGGGGCAGCGGTGAGCACAGCAGGGGCAGACAGGGCGGTGAGTGAGAGGAGAGTGAGTTGGCGGGGCAGTGGCTGTGGGGACAGAGGCTGCTGGTGAGGGCTGGGAAGACAGAGAAGAAAGGCCTGGATGGCAAGTGATGCGGGCAGCAGGCGTGTCTCTGGGACATACTGCCTTCCTGCTCCAGTCTCTGCTCAGCCCTGGAATTCTTTCCTCCCAGGATGGCCTCGTCCTGGGGGCTGTGGGGAGCTTTAGCTGGTCTGGAGGTGCCTTCCTGTATTCCCCAAATATGAGCCCCATCTTCATCAACATGTCTCAGGAGAATGTGGACATGAGGGACTCTTACCTCGGTGAGAAACGGCCAGGGGTTGGGGACAGGTTGGAGATGCGCTGCCCAGGGTGGGGTCCAGGGTTCTGAGGAGGGGAGAAG